ACCATTATTGGCATAGTACGATGTTGTGTACTTTGAAAGTAGTAACACATACCGTATACATTGCCTTTAATTCGGTATTTCATGTAGGATAGGGAACTTCTCTGTAAATTGTAGGTATAGTATCACTTTATGGTATATATCCCACATAATGGTAGGCAAATCGGTCCAGCCGTTCTTTCAAAATAGGTTTTGCAAGATTTTCGCGGATTTTTCTCAACATGTTCTTTCATAAAAGCTTTCCCACTTAAATTGCAGGCAACTGAAAGAAATTTTGAATCAAATCGGTGCCGCCGTTCTCAATTGATGAGGTACTATACATTTTACATCACTTTTATAAATACATTTAAATACATTTTTCTTAAATTTGAAAGGGTATTTTTTTTCGTTTGACTCCCACGCGCTTTTCGAAAACAGGTTATGTATGAGTCGGTGTCGGAATACATAACATCGGCACATACCGATTAAGCATCCAATATTTAATCGGGCAAAACACAAAGAAGCTATATATCCCGCCATCTATCGGACGAACTTAAAATTAAACACAAAAACACTACTCACACCCCATAGGACATATACGTAAAGTTTGGTTAAAATCAGAGGAGTAGTTCTTGAATTAGAGTGAAAAACTACCAAAAAATCTAAATATTGCGCCATCTGTCGGATGAACTACAAACTACAAACTACACAGAAACACTCCTCACGCCCCATAGAGCATGTACATACAATTTGGTCCAAATCGGTGCAGTAGTTTTTGAGTTTAGCGATCACGAACATACACGTAATTTTTATATATATAGAGATTTACTAAAAACAACATAATATCTGATATGTTTTTCATCTTTAATATTTTGACAACAAAATCGATAATTGCATTTTAATGAAAATTTATGAGGAAGAAGAACGAACCGACATCATAAAAATAAAACTTTTCTCTTGAGAATATTTTTTTCCTCAAATTTGAACTGGAAAGAAGTGAAGTCTATTTAAAAGACGATATAAAAAAACAACATAAATCAAAAGTTTTACTTTGCAAAATAAAAAAAACAAAAAACATACACAAAAGAAGAAAAAAAAAATGAAGTAAACTTATTACTTTCTCTGAAATGCCGGGAAATGTAATGTAATTTAATATATTTTTGTGTTGAAGAGTGCGCTGAAGTGATTCATCGCAGAATAATTTATTATCGGAAATACTTTACTTTTAATTTTGTATGTTTTGTTTATAAACAATTCACAAAGGTATCGCTGCATATCACAAAAATGCAAATGTTCTGTTTATCAGCATAGATCCATGTTTTGACAACTATTATATGCCGAGTTCCCCTGCTTCTTATATGAACATTTTTATAGGTATAACCCGAGAGCACCTGTATATATTTCTGGCCTATGAAATACTTAATATTGTCTAATGCATTCTGAAATTTACATTGGAAAAAATGGAATCCATTTGTGATATGAATTAATTTTCGATGTACATTATAGGGACAATAGTCTATCTTAATATTTATATGACAATGAAGCATCATCCCATAGCACCGCTAAAAACTGATTTAATGAATACAAACAGTACCGACACTCAATTAAATTATCAAGTGGCGACTTCTCCGCTTTAGCTCCGTAGAACAGTCAATTGTGGTACGCCTCAATATTTACCCTAATTATAGTTTTAACAGCCATAAAGCCCTGTGGTGGCACTCAAAGTTTTTTTATTCAATGTTAGGTTCTGGTATGTATGAGGACCTAACATGGACTTAAATCAATTTCAAAACCAGTGAGCGAAGCAGTATATAATCGGACGGGGCCGACCATATGATACCCTACACAACTTCCACAAAAAACTAACTTTCTGTGGTTCTATATTCTTAACTTGGGCAATAGTTCGCGATATTTGAACCATCTTGACCAACTAGAGGCCAACAATTATTACTAATGTTCAGTACAGTCCTTCTAATTGCATGTCTAGATTCCCTTCCCTTGTGTTGTGATGGTCTTATTCCCATTGTGGCTTATAGATCGGCCCGAAAAAATACAAAAAAATATGTTTTCGGTCCACTTTATCCCAATATTATTATCTGATCATCACCGAAAATTGTAGGCGTACCCTTGACCATAACTGGAACCTCATGAAATATTTTAAAGCGATCAGCGCTATATTTCCGCCCTCCTGTAATGGGTTACTAAATAATATCTATATACGTAAGCACCAGTAAATATTTAAGAGTAACTCCCACATCCGAGCACATATAACAATATACTTGGTATCAATTTAAAGGTCAACCACTCCTCTTCGGATATACAATCAACTTCTCGGGTCTATGTCATTCAGGTGTAAATATATACGCTATAGAATACCAATGTTGTAATTTTTCACACAAAAGTCAGGGTCCATTTGACCCGCTAAATATTGACCGATCTTTATCGCGATGTTTGGGCCATAATTGCGGTCTCTGGAGCGACCAGAAAAACCGAACAAAATTAAGTATTTGGTCCATTTCATCCCCTAAATATTAACCGATCTTTACCAAAAACAATTGGGGTCTTAATTGGACCGAACTCTCCCTACATGCAAAATTTCGTGAAGGTTGGTCCATAAATGTGGCCTGTATCGTGTTTACAAATTATAATGGACAGACGGACGGACACACATGTCTAGATCGACTCAGCTAGTAGAGATATGACGATCGGTATACTTAAAGTGGGTCTAGGACCAATATTTCGCGGCGTTACAAACTCTTGGGGCTGCACAAAGCTATAATACCCTGACAACATAGTTGTGTAGGGTATAAACAAAGCTATAATACCCTGACAACATAGTTGTGTAGGGTATAATAAACGGCTCATATAGAAAATTATCAGAAATATTTTTAGACAATTTAAAATAACTTCGATGGTCGGTAAAAACCTTGAAAATGCCGGGACCCAACGAACTTATTTTTAAAATTCGGTGGGAAAACGTATTGAGAAATTTACAATTTTTGGTAGAAAGATTTGACACCCCATTATGACCTCAAAAATCAAATTAAAGCCAATTTGGTTGAAAAACGAAAAACGCTGCACGGTGACGATGCATTGGGTATATAGCATCTCTTCATTGTTCACAACCCAAAATGCGACATATTAGGTTGGGGATAAAGAAATCCATTAGTTGTATATGAACTATAGGATTTTCTTTAAGAAGTCCGATTTAGACCAAACGTGCACCGTTTTGTTCTATGTTTTTTTGCCATTTTAAAGGTAAAGGTAGAAGTCCTGCTATCTATTTGCAAAAAAATTCTAGTAGTCGATTTTCACAATCCTTCTAACATACCAATTTTTGATCATTAAAGAAATTTTGCAATGCAAGAAAAATATGATAATCGCTGGTGCTAAGTCCGGACTGTATGGCGGATGCATTAAAACTTCCCAACCAAGCTCCCGAAGTTTCTGGCGAGTCACTGTAGATGTGTGTGGCACAGCGTTGTTGGACAATTCTGGCCGTTTCTGGTCAATTGCTATATTCAAACGGTCCACTTGTTGACTGTAAATATCAGAATTTATCGTTTGGCCATATGAAAGCAACTCATAATAAATAATACCTTCCAGTCCCATCAAATGTATAGCAGAACCTCCTGGCCGTTAGTTCTGGTTTGGCCACCGTTTGAGGTGCTTCACCGTTCTTTGATCACCATCGTTTTCGAACAGGGTTATCATATGTGATCCATTTCACCATGGCTTCGGAAATTCGATCCATCTTTTTCTCCTGTTAATTGATGTGGTACCCAAACATCGAGCTTATTTTTGAATGTGATCCATTTCTCACTTCCAGTCACCATCCGTTTAAAAAATGGGTCTACCTCAATTCGTTTGGCCAAGGCTTCGCAGATGGAAATTCGATCCATCCTATTTTTTATACTCTTCACCGCACTGTGGTACAGGTATTATGTCTTTGTACATATGTTTGTAACTGGCAAAAGGAAACGAGATATACACATGGTTCCTTTTGAGAATATGCATAGAATCACTTTCTAAGTCGATTTATGCATGTCCGTCCGTCCGGACATGAAATTTGGCATAGGTCACATATTTGGCCCAAGGACGAACCATATTGAAATTGGGAAAAATCGGTTCAGATTTAGATATATCTCCCATATATATTTTCGCCCGATTTAATGTAAACGGTCCCTATATATCTTTCGATTTGCACGAAATTAGGCACTGCCTAATGATTTAGGTCGAGAATTTTTTTTAAGGACTTTTACAAGGCGTGGATTTTTTCATGAACCTTTAAAAGGAGTGGATTTTTTAATGTATATTTGTTCATGGACCATTACAATGCATGGATTTTTTAAATTATATTTTTTCAAAGAAAATTACAGCGTGTGGATTTTTTATAAAATAAGAATATGTTTCTGAGGACCTTTAAAAGACTGAATAGAAAAAACAAAACTATTTGGGGACCTTTAAAAGATTAATAAAAAAACCAGTACGGAAAGTAGTAAAGTCGGACTGGGTCGACTATATGATACCCTTCAATACTTTGGATATATATGGTACATATGTATCCTTCTCATGTCTTTCTGCAACCTATGTTACATTTAATTTCATTCGCACCATTCTTGTAAAATCGGACGAATATATATGTATATGTGGGGGCTATATCGAAATCTGGACCGATTTTTCCGAAACTTACTACATATTATTCTAGACTCAATTCAGTACGCTATGCCAAATTTCGTGCAAATCGAAGGATATATAGGGACTTTGGTGCACCATTTACATAAAATAGGACGAAACTATACATGGGAGCTATATGTAAATCTGAACCGAAAAACCCCCTGTACCGAAATATTTATGATATATTTTTTATATATTTAACTTCTTTCCAAATAAGAAATAAATAGAAACCAATAAAATGTATCACAGCACTTTATTTAGCCATAGTTTTCCTTCTAATTTTATGGATGATCGATTGGTAATTTTATTTTCACTATTGTTTGATTTTCTATTTTTCTTTTCTTTAGCTTCGACAATGCCGGAAACCCCAATTGAGGAAGTCACAAATGCTTTGTACGGTAAAAGCATTAAATTTGCCATGACACACAATATCGAACTGAAGCTGCCGGAGATGATGTTCGATGGTGCCACATTTCGTATATCGCCCAGGTCAATAGAGGGTAATGGTGTTATTGCCAAGTTGGAGTTAATACCCAAGCAAAAAAGTGAAGCTCGTTTGGCTGGCAAAATCCTGATGAAGAAATTACGTGAGTAGTGAAATGGAAACAATGCTTTTAATTTTCACTTTTATTTTCAATTGTTTTTTTCTTCGTTTTAGAGAAACTTATGAAAAGTAAACTGTTACTATCGTTCCTGGCCTTGGTCTTGATTATAAAAATTATCAAAATCAAACTCTTCTGGCTGCTGCCATTGGTCATTGGTGTGGGTGCGGCCAAGAAATTGCTACTGAAATTCCTACTCTTCCTATTTCCAGCCTTGTCGCATCTCTTCAAATTGTGTTCGTATTATCAGCAGACTTATCATTCGACAAAATATCATCATCACCATCATCACATTAATCATCATCATACGGTGAGTAATAAAAAAAATAAAGCAAAACGAAGGAAGAACGTACCAACGAATTGAATTGAATCAAGAAAGGGCATCAAAACGGAAGAAAAAAATGAAAGTGGGAATATTCGTTTTTTTTATTGTGATTACTATGCAAGCACGAGATGCTTAATTGGAATTATGTGTCAGTCAGTTTGTTACTGAGTCAGTCAGGCATTACACAATGGGGATTACTCTCTTTATTAAATGGCAACGAATTATGTGACAAGAAGAAAAATATAACGTGGAAATAGTATGAACGGTAGGGGGAGTCATTTGGTGGGAAAATATAGTTTTTGTGACAATGACACTATTTGTAATGAAAATTTGTAGTGAAAATTGTGAAAGGGAAGTAGTTGGCAGCACGTACATCAATTTTTTCACTATAAATGTCAATTATTTTCTTAACATAGATTTAATAAAGGAATGATATATGATGGGGCATTTGTTAGTGGAGTGCAGTACATGTCTAGGATGGGTTAGAAAGGAGAAATAGTTTTTTTCCTTTCCTGATTTTAGTCGACAAACCATTAAAAATGCTTCACAAGTTTAATGTTATTAACAGCGTCAAAAGTGCTAAAATGGTACATTAGCATTGAGCGGCGTAGAATAAAATTTCTTTGGCCTTAAAAAATCTGAAAAAATTATGTAAACAATCCACGCCTTGTATAGGTCTTGAAAAAAATTTATTTAAAAAATACACGCCTTGTATAGGTCTTGGAAAAAATTTATTTAAAAAATCCACGCCTGGTATAGGTCTTAAAAAAATGTATTTAAAATATCCACGCCTTGTATAGGTCACACACATTCTAGACTCAATTCAATACGCTGTGCCAAATTTCGTGCAAATCGAAAGATATATAGGGACACTGGTGCACCATTTACATAAAATCGGACGAAAAATATATGAAAGCTATATTTAAATCTGAACCGATTTTTATGAAATTTTGCACATATCATTCTAGACTCAATTCAGTACGCTGTGCCAAATTTCGTGCAAATCGAAGGATATATAGGTTCTTTGGTGCACCATTTACATAAAATCGGACGAAAATATATACGGGCGCTATATCTAAATCTGAACCGATTTCAAAAAAACATCAATCGAGACTTAATTCAGTACCCTGTGCAACAGGGTTTACATACAATCGGACGAAACTATATATCGGCGCTATATCTAAATCAGAACCGATTTCAACAAAAGTTGACATACATCAATCCGGACCTAATTCAGTACTCTGTGCAAAATTTTGTCTCAATCGGAAAAATATTGGGAGTTTGGTGCACCATTTATCTAAAATCGGACGAAACTATAATGGGAGCTATATATAAATCTGAACCTATTTCTACAAAACTTCACACACATAAAACTGGATATATTCTAGTACGTTGTGCAAAATTTTGTCTCAATCGGACAAATATTGCAAGTTTGGTGCACCATTTACATAAAATCGGACAAATATATATATGGGAGCTATATCTAAATCTGAACCGATTTTTTGCAATTTCAATAGGGTTCGTCTTTGGACCAACTAAATGAGCTGTTCGAAATTTCATCCAATTCGAATCAAAACTGCGACCTGTACTTTGTTTACAATTTAACATGCACAGACGGACAGACGACATGCATGAATCGACTTAAAATGTGATTATCAAAAGGAACCATGTGTCTATCTCGTTTCCTTTTGCCTGTTACAAACATATGCACAAAGACATAATACCCTGTACCCAGTGTGGTGAAGGGTATACAACTCCACGCCTTGTATAGGTCTTGAAAAAATTATTTAAAATATCAACGCCTTGTATAGGTTTGAATAAAAAGTATTTAAAAAATTACACCTTTTTTGGGTGTTGTAAAAAATTATTTAAAAAATATGTAGGTCTTTATTTGCAAAATTTCAACCCACTGTGCCGATTAAAATCATCCCAAAGAAAGTTAAGATTTATTGGCGTTGCCTTTAACACTCTGATCCAAATGAAAGTGAAATGATTTCAGCAACAGCAATAACAACAACAATACAATCTCTAGCTGCTATTGTTGACTGATGAAACGTGGCTTAAATGGGTATTCTATTAGCATTTTATACTCGACGAACGAACGATATTTTGCGATGATGAAATGCAAACCCCAACAATAGCTAAACGTGGTAGACTATGTGTGACGTTGTTGTATTTTATGGCATTTACATCCGATTATTCTTTCATTAGCTCATCGTATTCGCGCCGGGTACTATTCCATTCATATGGTAATGATGAAGATGCTGCACATACCACCTATATATGAGAATGTATTACGTTGGAATGAATGTGGGAATGAATGAACGATGAACGTATAAGTCTTTGGCTATAAATGTTGTTGGCTATAAATGTTGTTGATGTATTTGTTTTTGTTAAATCGTTTTGATGATGATGATGAGGCTAATGCTGCTGATACTTTGCCAATGTTAATGTATATTTTATTGCCTTAGGCTAATACGCATAAACAAATACATGCATACAAATAGATAACATTGATTGTGTAATATTTCTTCATTTCTTGTCTTTCTTTCTATCTGTCTTTCTTTGTCATTGTCGTTATTTTCTTAAGCCCTATTGTGGTATAAAAATTGAGAGCATGCTAAAAATAAGAAAAAAATTGTTTATGTGGTGAATAAATATGTTGTGAATTTAATATGATGACTAATGGGGAATGGTATGATTTTATATACTTATTTAAAAGGAGAAATGTCAACTGGATTAAGGACTTGACTTACTTGAAAACAGGTTAACTGAAAAGTTTCAGGCCCGACATATGGGTGGCCCCCCTAGGATTAAATCATTAGTCCAAACCTTTATATAAAATAGGATTCTCGAACATTTCTGAATCGACTCAAATTTGTCTGAACCTGCTTTGGTCCAAAGACATTGCGTTCTACAATCGACATTTCTATGAATTAAATTTTTAATATGACGATAATCCAATACACGAACCACGTAAAAATGTAATATTTGAGGTACTTTTTTTAACAATTCTTATATAGTTCCAACCTTCCTCTACACTTGTTTTAAATTTTTTATTTCTATTTTCAGATTGTCCCTCCATGGCATAGTGGTGAAAGTGCACCATGGCATAGTGCAGAAACGGCTCACATTCCGGAAATCATTTATTCACATCCGCCGAAAGGACACGTATCGACATATTTACATGGAGCACCCATACATGAACACTATGGACCGCCAGGACATTCCCATGAACATTACGATGGTTGGGAAAATTCCGGGCCTGGGCTAGGTTCAGAGTAAGTAAAATCATCTTCTAAACCCCCTATGCAAAATTACATTTGCATACACTTTGTGACTAACCAAACTCTGCAACATACATTATTCATATTCTTACAATTTATTTCTATTCATATACATTAACACAGATATATAAGTGATATAAATCGTGTTGCACAAATCGATGAAAAGACAAATTATTTTAAACCGCACCCCAATAATGATGCCAATGAATTACACGCCTGGGGTCTGGGCACTACGCCTCTCACCACATTACGAAATAAACAGCGTCCACATACGGGACCATCACAACTACTGCAACAACAACAACAAAATCAACTGCAATATAAACGAGTTTCGACTCCATTACAGAAACCCAGTATTCTCAATCAGACACCACAAAATTATCAAAAACCTCAAGCCACTAGTCAGACATTTAATCCATTCAAGCAACAGGGTGATAAACAAAGGTATCTCTCGCTCAAAACGAAAATAAAAAACACACACGAACACAAACACTAAAACACCCTGAACACAAATTCCAATTCAAAACTCCTTATATTCCTTAATTTATTGAACACAATTTAATGAAAGGAAAAATAATTAATTAATAACATGTATTTTTTTTAAATTATTTTAACAATTATTGATAATGTAAATTGTTTTTACAGCATTTTCAATCACAAATATCGAAACAATCCTGCCGCCGCCCAATCAGCTCCAAGCCCTGTCTACACACCCTTACGGCAACCGGGATTGCCACAGTTGCAGAAACCGATAAAACCACAAATTCAAGATACAATATCAGCGGCAGCTCAAATTGCTGCACAATATGATCCGAGTCGAAAACAAGCACAGCAACAACAGCCATTAGCAAACGCACAGCAGGATCCACAATTAACGGTATGTAATTTTTATTGAGATACCATAAACATATCCACCATACAGCCAACAAATTAAATGGGTAATATTGCAAATCGATTTAAAGTATCGTATGGTAGGGAAAGTGAAACGAGAAAGTATTTAAACAAATGTATATTAAAATGTTCCGAAATATCAAACATATTTTCAAAATATATTCGGAACTATAAAATTTATAGGAAATTTCCAAATAATAAGCTATTTCAAATCTATAATAATATGTATGAGTTTTTATTTATGATTAGATAACGCCTTAAATCTTAAGGCGATTAGGAAGAAATAAACCTCACGCAGAAATTTTTTTTAGCTGAGGTTGAAAAAAGCTTTATTTAGTCTAGCCTCTCAGTTTTAATTTTTCTAAATATGGATTATCATTTAACTTGGGACGTGAAATTTTAGGGCTTACCTTTGGGTGCAGGGTAAATTTTACCTTTACGCATTTTCTGAAATCTATACTAAAACCAGTAAGGAAAGTATTAAAGTCGGACGGGGCCGACTATATGATACCCTTCACCACTATGGGTATATTAAACAGGTCTATTATCATAAAATTGTATGAAATAAAATATGTGATATTTATCTAAATGTGAAACGACCTAGATCTATCCATAAACATGTCATTCGTTTGTTACAATGAAACAAACAAATATCAATAGGTCATCCGTTGGGCTAGGTCTGTACTTCTAGAAACCCCAACTACGTTATTATATGCTCAATTTTGTACGTTGTGCAAAATTTGATGTCAATCTAACAAATATGAGGAGTTTGATGCACAATTTACTTATATATGGATGCTATGTCCAAATATGCACCGATTTCAACGAAACTTGTCAAAGGTTAGGTTATACTAATTTCAGTACGTTTTTCTCCTATCAGCCATATATTGGTTCCTTGGTGCGTCAATTACTTAAAATCAATCTATAATATAAGGGAGCTATATCTAAATCTGGACCGATTTTCACGAAACATACCAGACATCATTTTAGGCTCAAGTCAGTACGTTATGCCAAATTTCGTGCAAATCGAAAAATATAAAGGGACTTTGGTGCACCATTTACATGAAATCGGACGAAACTATATATGGAAGCTATATATAAATCTATACCGATTTTCTCGAACCTTAGCAGACATCACTCTAGGGTCAATTCAGTACGTTATGTCAAATTTCGTGCAAATCGAAAGATATATAGGGACTTTGGTGCACCATTTACATGAAATCGGACGAAACTATATATGGGAGCTATATCTTAATCTGGACCGATTTACACGAAACATACCGGACATCATTTTAGGCTCAATTCAGTACGTTATGCCAAATTTCGTGCAAATCGAAAAATATAAAGGGACTTTGGTGCACCATTTACATGAAATCGGACGAAACTATATATGGAAGCTATATATAAATCTATACCGATTTTCTCTAACCTTAGCAGACATCACTCTAGGCTCAATTCAGTACGTTATGTCAAATTACGTGTAAATCGAAAGATATAAAGGGACTTTGGTGCACCATTTACATGAAATCGGACGAAACTATATATGGGAGCTATATCTAAATCTGGACCGATTTTCACGAAACATACCAGACATCATTTTAGGCTCAACTCAGTACGTTATGCCAAATTTCGTGTAAATCGAAAGATATATAGGGACTTTGGTTGCACAATTTACATGAAATCGGACGAAACTATATATGGGAGCTATATCTAAATCTGGACCGATTTTCACAAAACATACCAGACATCACTCTAGGCTCAATTCAGTACGTTATGCCAAATTTCGTGCAAATTGAAAGATATATAGGGACTTTGGTGCACAATTTAAATGAAATCGGACGAAACTATATATAGGAGCTATATCTAAATCTGGACCGATTTTCTCGAAACTTGGCACACATCATTCTAGGCTCAATTCAGTACATTATGCCATATTTCGTGCAAATCGAAAGATATATAGGGACTTTTGTACACCTTTTACATTAAATCGGACGAAACTATATATGGGAGCTATATCTAAATCTAGACCGATTTTCTCGAAACTTGGCACACATCATTCTAGGCTCAATTCAGTACATTATGCCAAATTTCGTGCAAATCGAAAGATATATAGGGACTTTTGTTCACCATTTACATTAAATCGGACGAAAATATATATGGGAGCTTTATCTAAATCTGAACCGATTTTTCCCAATTACAATAGGGTTCGTCCTTGGGCCAAACAAATGAGCTGTGCCAACTTTCATCCAATTCGGATCATAAATGCGACCTGTACTTTGCTCACTCGTTTCCTTTTGCCTGTTACAAACATATGCACAAAGACATAATACCCTGTACCACAGTGTAGTGAAGGGTATAAAAAGAGTAAAGTGATTGACTGACTGAATTAAGGATTCATCAATTCCTAGACGAAACGGCTGAAGCTAGAATCTTGAAATTTGGTGTGGGGGTCCATAGGGGGTCCGATAAGGCTGGGTTTTTGAAAATTCGTACTAGTACGGCACGGCACTAGCTAGAACTCTGAAATTTGGATTGAGGGTCATTGTTGGAGTGTAGAATATATCTAGCAAAGGATTTTTTTGGACATTCGAACTATTAGTATCGAAAAGTACTAAATTTGGTACAATGTCGTATCATGTGAATGGATAGTAGGAGAAGTAGGATCGATATAAGGAGGTGGTTTTGATGGTTTGTGGGTTTGTACTAAATTTGATACAATTTGTATTTAGAGAAACCGATGAAGCTGGAAACCTAAAATGTGAAATTAATATTACAGTCGGAGTACGTATGTACTTTATACCTACATATGTACTTTATGCAAAAAAGTACTTTTCTACTATACTAAATTTGGATTTTATGTGAACCTGGAATTTGAAGTGAGGGTCACTGTTAAGGTGTTGGGTTGGGGTATTTGGCAGGTTTTGGAAATTTTTACTAAATAGTACCAAATGTGTATTTGGGTGAACCGATAGAGCTAGAACACTGAAATTTGGAAATAATGTTACTGTTAGAGTGTAGGATTGGTGTATGGATATAGTTTGGGAAATTCATACTTATGGGTACTAATTGGTAATAACTTTGGTACAATTTGAATTTTGGGAGAACCGATAGTGCTGAGATCCTGAAATTGGGGTGTACGATTGGGATATATAGGAAGTTTTAGAAATTTGTACTAATATATAATAAATAGTACCAAATATGTATTTAGGTGAACCGATAGAGTTAGAACACTGGAATTAGGAAACAAGATTACTGTTGGAGTGTAGGATTGGTGTATGGATGTAGTTATGGAAATTCATAGTTATGGATACTAACTGGTACTCACTTTGGTACAATATAAATATTGAGTGAACCTATAGTGCTGAGATCCAGAAATTTTGATTTAGAGTCATTGCATTGGGCTACGTAGGAAGTTTTGGGAATTCATACTAATGTGTACTAAATTTGGTACCATTTAAATTGTAGGTGAAGCGATCGAATTGGAATCCTGATGTGTACTAAATAGGATTATTGTTGGGGAATAGGATTGGGCTATGTAAAAAGTTTTGGAAATTCATACAAATGTGTTCTAAATGGTATAAATTTTAGTGACGGATCGGGCTGGAGTTTTTAAATTAGTATTTGTATTGGATTATAATTGTATTGTATTTGTATAAATATGTACTAAATCGTACTAAATTTAGTAAAATTAAGATTTGGGTGAACTTATATAGCTGGGAATGCCATAATTTAAACCCATTATGTACTTCATTACTCATCCCATAAATATTAAATTTAAATTGCGTATAATCGCGAAGTCCAATATATCAAGATGCCTCCCATTAATATACATTTATTACATCAATTCGTTCTTAAATATCATTTATTCCCAATTATCGGAAACATTCCAATAATTGTAAATACTTTCCATTACTCACAACAACAAAAGCATGCTTCAACAGTTGTGTTTTACAACAATAAACAAATCTGAGACCTTATTTTCATATATGGAGAAGTCAATAATATACGATAATTATACGATGGCAAATGTATAATTATACGAAATACATGAAATATATATTGGGTGGGAACGCTGTAATTTTATTAAAAACAATGACAAATATATAGCTAGCATTTAAAGAAGGCAGATATATTATTACCTTATATTTGAAATGAAATCGTTGTCTAAAAATCATACCTGCTATACTCTCCGCCCCCCAACTTTGCTGCATTTTCAGCATTCTGAAAAGAAACAGAAAAGACAAATAGTTTATTTAGACTACTTGTTTTGATACCGTAATGTTATAAAGATTCAAATGTAGAATAATAATGCAAATTATAATATCCGAAGCGAATATTTAGTATTACATTTTGTTATGTTGAAGAAAATGTTGTGCCCTCACCAAATACCATCACGAAACAAATGGTCATTACAGGTCTACTTTTGGGTACATTCCCCAATTAGTCTTCGGTCTATCTATGTCGTAAAATATTTGTGTATATAATGATGAGGTACATACCTCATGAGTCCAAGCAACACCATTAAATACAATTAAGTTCACCTTATCTCCAAAATATCTTAAGAATATACTGTTTAGTTCTTTAGAATAAGAGCCGTTGAAGAAGACTCTTATGACCGAGAGTTGCAGTGATCAGCCGACTAACGCGGCTACGTTTTTCTTTTTACGGGAATAAAGTCTTACGATGCTATATATAATGATCTTTGCGTCCATTCGGCCTACACAAAATATGAAATTATCAATTTACCGATGGGTTGGCCATGTGAATGTTGACTGAACTTCAGGAAACACATTCTTCGAATGAAATATAATTTTTTCATAATTTTTAAATGATGAAATGCCAAACTATACTTACTCCACATAAAGATCTACTATATTAGATCAGAAACGGCAGAAATTCTGATCAGCGTTTACAACGGTCAGAATCGCAGTTTATTGAATGTAGCAAAAACAATCATCTGGCTCATCTTGAAAGAAAAATAAATAAAAACGTGGCTCAGTAAGGAACTGAAGGGTAAAATACCATGTTCGATTCAGACTCCATTAATTATACCCTCAGCCTAATGACTAATGAGGGTATATACACTTTGATACGGTGAAAATGTGCCTCATCGAAATATTGTTTTTAGACCCCAAATCCATTTCAGAAAATTTGGAGTCCATTTAGACATGTCTGTTTGTCCGTCATTGTCCGCCTGTCTGTCTGGTTGGTGCGCACGATAACTCTCGAAGGGAATAATCGATTTCATTCAAACCTTGCACATCTTAATATTTCTTCCAAACTTAGTTTAAGTTCGAAGATGGGACCCATTAGTCCAATCCTTCTGGTATTTCTCCCAAAAAAAGTATAATAACATTCAAACGGACTATCTGATTTGAACAAAACTTTGTACAACCTATTATCTTAACCAAGACTAGTATGAAGATGGGACCCATTGGTCCACTCCTTCTGGTACCTCCCCCACAGAGGGTCAACATTTTCAATATTTATAAATCCAATATCAGGTTAATGGATTTCAATCAAACTTTGCACAATCTATTAAATTTACCAAACCTAGATCAAGTCTGAAGATGGGATCCATTGATCAACTCTTTCTGATACCTCTCACACAAGTGGTCTAACTTTTTCATATTTTCCAATATCAGGCGAATGGAGTGTCCGATTTGAAGAAAACCTTGCACAACCTATTATATTTACCAAGTCTAGATCAAGTCAGAAGATGGGACTAAAGGTCCACACCTTCTGGTACCTCCTCCACAATGGGTCAAAATGTTCAATATTTATAAATCCATCCATAAATATTCCAATGGAATGTGCTATTTGAACCAAACGCCTAGATCAAATCCGAAGGTTGGACCTGTCTGCCCTCTCCTCTGGTACATCTTAAAAAAAGAGTCAATATTATATATTCGATCAACATAAAATACGAAACATCTTAAACATATAACTTATATAATTCGCAAAGGAATCGAGATAGACCCATGTCCGTCCGTTCGTCCATGTATTTTTGTGAACGAAGTACTGGTCGCATTTATGATCCGATTTGAATAAAATTTGGCACAGTTCACTTATATGGCCCAAGGACGAACCCTATTGGAGAAAATCGGTTCAGATTTAGATATAGCACCCATATATAGTTTCGTCCTATTTTATGTAAATGATGCACCAAATTCCCAATATTTGTCCGATTGAGACACAATTTTCTACAGCGCACTGAATCAGGTCCATACTTATGTATGCGAAGTTTTGTTGGAATCGGTTCCGATTTAGATATAGCTCCCATATATAGTTTCTTTCGATTTTATGTGAATGATGCACCAAACTCCCAATATTTGTCCGATTGGAGCAAAATTCTGCACAGAATACTGAATAAGCTACAGACTGATGTTTGCGATGTTTTATTAAAATAGTTTCGTCCGATTTTTTTGTGAGTGATACACCAAATTCCCAATATTTGTCCGATTGAGGCAAAATGTTGCATAGCGAATGCAATTGAGGATTAAATGATGTGTTATAAGATTTGTTGAAATCGGTTCAGATTTTGATATAGGCATATTTTCGTTCGATTTTATGTAAATGGTACACCGAAGGGCCTACGTTTGTTCGATTTACACGAAATTTGGCAGAGGGTATTAACTTGAATATAGAGTGAAACAAAAAACAAATGGTTGCTCAATTAGGTCCATGTGTTTTTTTTATAGCCCCCATACGTAATTTTACTCGATTTCATACAAATGGTACACCCAAGAATCCAAGTCTGTCCGTTTTACATGCAATTTTTCATTGATTTCAGAATGGTATGTCTATGGGATTTTTTCAATTGCTTCAAATATCTATCTAGATAGCACATTCAATGGTCCTCCAAAGATTCTATATCTGTTCTATCTACAGGATTTTGTAGACATTAACATCTCTGGTGAAGGGTATTATATAGTCGGCCCCGTCCGACTTTCGAACTTTCCTTACTGGTTTTTATATATTTTTCTGTTGAATAATGCAATATATTTTTTAAGCAGCATGTTCAAAAACCGATTTAAGAAAAATTCAAGACCTACCCATATTTTTTTATGTGTACTGTCTTTGGCTCCTAATATTCATTATCTGTTTTTGCATTCAATACTGGATGCCGAGGCGTATGCATTTTCTGTTGTTGAATTTTTTTATGCCACAACGAACATCCGACATGTTTCCATAGATATTATTGCGATATTTATTTTCATGTATATATGTGTGTGTGTTTTTTTCATTGTATTGTATTGATGTATTGTATATTTTCAGCCGGAACTTTCTGCACAAATAAAGGAAGCCTTAAGGATACAAGCCGAACAAAGATTGGTGCAACAACAGCAGCAAATATTGGAAAAACAACCTTTTGTCCAAGATGGTCAGGTATGACAGTCGCACCCACACTTTGCAATGTTCTGCGAAATAACTATTTGGTAATATTCTTCCCCATTTTTCTGTTTGCAGCCATTGATGCCATTAAACTATGACCCCTTCTATAGTCCGATACTATTGAAAATTGATAAAATAATTGAACAACTTGGTATCAAGGAGGAGGGTTGCAAAGAACGTGTCGTTTGTAGTATGTACAAAGATCCGGAACGTTATAGTCCGCATAGTAATTTCGTGTCGGCAGAATTGAGTAGGTGAGTTCAAAGAAAAAAATTCAATATAAATTCAATTCAATATAAGTCCAATACAAATAACATTTATTCCTATTTATTTGTTTTACAGAGATACAAATGAATTGCAACCCATTACTAGCACAAATGGAGCGGTCATAAGATTCTTCCGTTTAATACAAGCCGCACGTGATGGCCAAGATCATAAGAATTGTTTAATTCTCTATCCAGATTGTAATATTAATACGGAGTGATGGAAGTTTGGCTGAACCAGAAACTCAAATGACTTGAGTCTCATCCATAATGTTTTGTAAAGTCATTTAGCATAATTTTAATTTATTTCATCTGTTGATTTTTGTTATATACGGTTCAACACGGTTCTAATGAACTCAAAAGACATACTGGAACTTTTTTCGAATATGGATAAAAATTGAAATTTCTCCAGAGTCCTTAAAATAGATCTGCAACTGGTTCGGTACATTATTCCTTTGATAATTTTTCCTCCATATATAAGACTGTAATGTTATATAGTGATTGATTGATTATTTAACGAAGTTCATTATAATCGTGTTCGACTACATTAAAATTCTAATAATATTTATTTTTCATTTAACTGATTTAATTTATTTATATACATATAAGTAATTTATTTATTATATAATTAATTGTAAATATATATAACGATGTTTATTAGAGCTAAAAATAGTTTAGAACTTTAAGATTGGTTGATTAATATTTTTGCCTTATTAATAATTTATTATTTATTTAATTCAAACATGTAATCTATTTTGTTAATTATAATTATTTATGAATAAATTTTAAAACGTATATTACCAAATTATTTGCTTTATCAGAGGTTGTAAATGATATGAGTTAGGTTTAATGAATGGTTAATTAAACATATCTATCTATCACACAATTTGCAACAAATTAAAATAGTCATCGAATATACATTTAAGGGGACCCCGATTCTCTCGTGCATTGTATTAAAGGCTTGTAAATTTTCATACAAGAAAATTAATCAAATAATTTCGATTTTTATACCCTTCACCACACTGTGGTACAGGGTATCATGTCTAGATAGATAGACCCATGGTTCCTTTTGAGAATATGCATAGAATCTCTTTCTGAGTCGATTTATGCATGTCCGTCCGTCCGTCTGTCTGTCCATGTTAAATTGTAAACAAAGTACAGGTCGCATTTATGATCCGAATTGGATGAAATTTGGCACAGCTCATTTGTTTGGCTCCCATATATATTTTCGTCCGATTTAAGGTAAATGAGGTACCAAAGTCCCTAAATATCTTTCGATTTGTACGAAATTTGGTACAGCCTACTGAATTAGGTCTAGAATGATGTGTGCCAAGTTTCGTGAAAATCGGTTCATATTTAGATATAGCTCCCATATATAGTTTCGCCCGATTTTAGGTAAATGGTGCACCAAAGTCCCTGAAAATCATTTGATTTACACGAATTTTGGCATAGCGTATTGAATTAGGTCTAGAATGACGTGTGCTAAGTTTTGTGAAAATCGGTTCAGATTTAGATATAGCTCCCATATATAGTTTCAACCGATTTCAGGTAAATGGTGTACCAAAGTCCCTATATATCCATCGATTTGCACGAAATTTGGCATAGCGTACTGAATAAGGTCTAGAATGATGTGTTCTAAGTTTCGTGAAAATCGGTTCAGATTTATATATAGCTCCCATATATAGTTTCGCCCGATTTAAGGTAAATGATGTACCAAAGTCCCTATATATCTTTCGTCCGATTGTAGGTAAATGGTGCACCAAAGTCTCTGAAAGTCGTTCGATTTGCACGAATTTTGGCATAGCGTATTGAATTAAGTCTGGAATGATGTGTACACCTCCTATATATATTTTTGTCCGATTTTAAGTAAATTGTGCACTAAAGATCCACAGCTAGGCCGATTGACACAACGTATTGAAATTAGTATAAATTAATCTCTGGGAAGTTCGCTTCAAATCCGTTCAGATATAGATATCTCGTAGCTTCCATATATAATTTCGACTTATTTATTGAGATTAAATTTTAAACAGTGCAGCATACCGAATAGCGTGTGTCAAGTTTGCTTTAAATCGATTTACACAAATCTGTCCCACTGTGCGCAAACTACTCTAAACTTGCGCAAATGAAATGAAATTTAGCATAGGTTCCAGAAAGATAAAAAATCACATATTTAAGTTCGTTCAATTTCATGTCAAAATTCCTTCAAAAGGGCGACGTCTTTTCGGATACATATGTACCCAAAGTGGTGAAGGGTATCATATAGTCGGCCCAGTCCGACTTTACTACTTTCCTTACTGGTCGATCATCGGAACGTCCGAATCTAAAAATTCCAACGTGACTCGAAGGAGTATAAGGCTGGCACTGGAATAAACTAGGATTATTAACATCAAACAAAAACTAGATCAGAATAAAATTCTATGACCAATAAGGAAAGTAGAAAAGTCGGATTGGGCCGACCCTACCCGACCCTTATACCCTGCACCACTTTGGGTATATGCTACATATGTATCCTAAGATATGTCGCCATTTCGAAGGAACATTGACATGGAATTGAACGAACATAAATGTGCGATATTTTTCTATAAGCGAACCGACTAACATTAATCCATACACATGACATTCAACAAGCTATGCTAAATTTAGTTTCATTCTGACAGATTTAGAGTCGTTTGCGTACAATGGGACAAATTTATGCAAATCGATTTAAAGCAAACTAGACGGACATGCATAAATCGACTCAGAAAGTGATTCTATGCGTATTGTCAAAAGAACCCATATGTCTATCTCGATTCATTTTGCCTGCTACAAACTTATGCACACACCCATAATACCCTGTACCACAGTGTGGTGAAGGATATAATTAACCAAATGGCTAACCTATAAAATTAAATTTTTGTAAAATTTCGTATTTTTGAAACAAAGGAAGATCTTGACCGCTTATATTTGTCCTAGTTCATACGATAGCTATGTATGTACAGAATAATGTGATAAAATTTGGGACGGATTTGGTTATTAGTTGTTGAGTTATCATGTCCACCATTCGTAAAAGCATTTTTTTTTTTTTTTGCAAAACCTTTCAGTAACTATAAAATACCTTATATGAAGTTTATGTCAAAACATGGACCTATACGAAGAATTTTGTTAAAAATCGAGAACTGTGATTGCCTAATTGAACAGGGCCTACATATAAAGGTCATGTCCAAATCTTGTATTGCAAAAATTTACTGCCAATTCGAGTTTTGCTTACCATGAACCCGGAATGTCAACTAAAGCAACTTTGATTGGCGATCCGACCAACAATTTTGAAATACCAAAAATGGAGCGATACTGTTATATAGGCCCTATACCAATAATTAGACATATACTGAACATTTTTATTAAAAAAGTTCATAAAATGATCGGGAACTTTATATAGGATATATCTCCCTCAAAACATTGAGGTATATATTTTCAATTTTCGGCGGAGATATTTTTATCCTCCAATAACCCGGAAATTAATATGGAGCAACAAGTGGTTCCTTAATTTGGACCGATAAATTTATGGATAGTCACGTCTAAAACCATCAAATTATCATAAAATGGGTTTCCGACGAATATTTCAAGTTGTTGCAAACGAACTATTCCTTATGATGAAGCGTATAAAAACTAGTGAGAATGTTACCCTGCATCAGTGTTCATGCCCAGATTCAAGATATAGACTGTGGACCCGATTTCCGAAATACATTTTTCGTATAAATATTAGGGTATGCTTAGCGTGGACCAAACATAATTAACGAAACGCTTTATACGATATACACGGGGTTTTTATTAAAAAGTTCAGAACCTGTGGGAAGTTAGCAGAGGGATTGTTCCAAAACACACCATTACAATGTTCAAATGCAATAAATTGTACAAGTTTTCACAATTTTGAACCTTTGTGGGGAGGTTCTAGACGGAGTGGACAAAAAGTCCACAGGATCAAATCAGAGCAACAGTGACTTGTGTTTAACTTCTAATAATTGTAACATTTGTATAACAAAGTCTTACATTATTATTATAGCTAGTATCTTGAAATTAGTTTAAGGAAAATTGAACTACAAGTCGATGAAAAGTTGTAAATGGTCCAAAAAAAAAAATGGTCCAATTCGTCACATTTTTCAAGCTCAGTACATATTCAACGGATATAAAAACTTTATGGCTGATTATTGTCCTCTGATACTATGACCATACTCATAGTCATAGTGGTAATTATTACCGCTATTAGTCTGGCTGAAATTCAGATCCTCTAAATGTTCTATTTTATTTTAATATGCCACTCATTATTTGACTTTTAAGGCTATATTTTCTAGCAGCATACGTGGACGTCTCAGGGTCACACGCATGATCTAGGCCATATTAAAGGATTATTTTTAAAAACAAACTCAAAAACATTTTATGGAAATAATATAGCACTATCTCTATATAGCAGAATGTGCCCCACTTTAAAATGTCGAATCTACCCCGAATGTAATTTTAATAGTTTTTTTCATTTATTTCTATCACTCTTCTAAAAACATTATATTTTAATGATTTTTATGACAATATACATTGCAATTAATGCCTTTTTATTAATACTGCCTTAAAATATGATAAGTTTTATACACGAAATACCTACGAATAGGAATGGAAACATCTGTACATCGATTGCCTAATGTGTCCCTATGCCGAAGGTGCCCCAGTCTCCCCTACTCAATTAGGAGAATGTATAGATTGCATTATTAGCATCATACAAAGTTTGTATACCCTCCACCATAGTATGGAGGGTATACTAATTTTGTAATTCCGTTTGTAACATATCGAAATATTCATTTCCGACCCTTTAAAGTATATATATATTCTTGATCAGGGTAAAATTCTAAGACGATCTAGCCATGACTGTCCGTCTGTTGTAATCACGCTATCTTCTGAAGGAATTGAGATAGGATGCTGAAATTTTGCATAGGGTTGTCTTTTGTCTGCAGGCAGGTCAAGTTCGAAGATGGGATATATCGGGTACCCCCAAATTTTCAGTATTTTGGGGTTCTTGATCGTGTTTTTCGACGGAAAATTGGTACGTTGGGTTCTTATTGGGTACTAAATGTCTCCACAAAAAATTATGAGTTTAGGTCCACTTTTTCTGGTAGCCCCCATTAACGGCACCTCCTAATTTTCAGTATTTTGGGAGTTTTGATCGTATTTTTTCCGCCGAATTGGCTGTAATTTA